CCTCTACAACTACCTAAAAGGAGGCTGTAGTGAGGCTGGGGCTGGTCTCTTCTCTCTAATTACTAATGACAGCACAAGGGATAACGGCCTCAAGTTGCGTCAGGGTAAGTTTAGATTGGATATTCGGGGGAAGTTCTTTACTGAACGAGTGGTGAGGCACTGGAACAGGCTGCCCAGGGAGGTGGTGGAGTCACCAACCCTGGAGGTGTTTAAAAAAAAGTAGATCTAGCACTTGAGGCTATGGTGTAGTGGTTAGGTATGCTGGGATGAAGGTTGGACTAGATGATCTTCAGAGGTCCCTTCCAACCCCTAACATTCTGTGATCCTGTGATTCTGTTCAGACATCACTGGAGTTTTAGAACTCAGTTACGCCAATGCAGTAAGTATATGACTGACTGTGAGCAGCAAAGGGTAACAATTAGTGGTCTCCTAAAGTAAAAAATCAACATTACCTTGATTCTCTATCTCTGCCAGCATATTAGTCAGGTAGTTAAGTGGCAAAAACTCCACAGGGACCGAGAGTCTCTCAGGGCTAGGCCTGCTACACTGCAAGGGAGAATATTTCAGGTCAGTTCACAAAATCGCACAGTATCAAGCTTTAGTGTGTTACAGTCTACAGAAAGGTGACGAATCTCAACACTGTCAAAGCAAAAGACTGAAAAAAATGTCCTCTGTGCCCTTACCTGCCTGTTCCCCAGATTCTCGAGCAACAGTTTCACGTATTTCCGTGCAATGAAGTTCGCATTTATCGGATGATTCCAAAACTGGCGGATCTTTTGACCAAGAGCCTAGTAAGCAAAAAACCAGAAACTTGAGAACATAAACAAAGGACAGTGGAGAACTTAGGGTGGGGGAAATAGAAGGAAAAGCTTGAAATAAAATCCAGGCTGTAACAGGGATGCCTTGCCTTCAGACATTGATCACAGAAACCAAGATCTCCTCGTTTTCAGCCATGGAGCCTTCCCATCACAGCCAGTAACTAAGAGATTACAAAACACTTCCCAACATCAAATGATCAAATCTTTGATACTCAGTACCTGCTGAGCTATCAATCAGTCTGTTCCATTACCTCTGCCCCACTTTGCATGTCTGCTTCTAAATATTAATTGAGGCTTAAAATGACCATTTACTGTGACTCTTAGGTTGAGATCCGATCCATTCTTCTCCCAAAGAATAACGCAGATGTCCCATTCCTCAGTGCTACGTTCAGGAGTGGGATTCTCTCAGGCTCAGCCTACGGAAACTTACGAATGCAGAATGCCAACAAGGAGAGATACTGAGAACAGAATTTGTACTCCATTATTTAGGGCATCATCCTGGAGGACACCACTCTGGACCAGCCACCAACTGGACTTAACTCCTTTGACCACAACTCTCTGGACTCGGCCATCCAACCAGTTTTTCCCCCAGCAAAGCGTATGTCCATCCAAGCCAAGAGCAGTCAGTTCCTCTAGGAGAATGCTGTGGGCAACAGAGTCAAATGCCTTACTAGAGTCAAGGTAGACAACATCCACAGCCTTTCCTTCATCCAACAAGT